TTTAGAAAGTCCTAAAAGCTCAATGACAACACAYTCACACACTGTGGTATCCACAAAACCCAGGGATGCATGTCAGCAGTTTGCAATTACTTCATGTATTAATTCTAGCCTGATCCAACCTTCATTTTCACTCTCTTTCTCTCTCTGTTTTATTGGATTGTGGTAAACTGTTTGATGTGCCTTCCTGCTTGTTCATCCTCCATTTTTCACCTCACATTATCCCTTTTCGTCCCAGGCAAACTGGGAAAATGTTTGAGAGGGAGAGGAAGAGCTAATTAATTGATAGGATAGTCAGAAATCTGTTGAGTAATGGGGCAAAAAAAATACTTATTTCACTTCTCTAAAATATTCTAAATTACCCCTGTGAGTTGTAAAAACACAGAGCAAAACYGTCACTGGCAGTCCTGTTACGTATTTATCAAAGACTACTCAGTGGATAATCAGAACTTTATTATTATAATAGAAATTTTGGCATCAGACAAGGATCTTCATTCAAATTCTCTGAGATTAGGAGCACAGTGATAGCTGATATGAAGTTCAYTTCCAATGATCCCAGTTATGCGAAGTCACAATGTTTGAAGGAAAACAGAGATGTGGAAGAATCAGGCAGATTTTTGAATTCATTACAATAATAATAAAAATAAAATAATTTTATGCTCCTGATTCCATCACAGAACATGTTTCATATAAAGTTAAGCACACTCAAAAATACCACACAAGGTTTTTTATCTTCATTCTTACATTCTGTTAGCTACAGCTGGAGAAAAAAATTTAATGTCAGGAAAAAATAAAAGAAACTATCATAAGACCATTAAGATAATTTCGAAAGTAGTTTCAGAACCATTAGGACAATCATGAAAATCTGCTGATAAAAATGTAAATGTAAGATTTCAAAGTCAGATTAAAACTTCAAAGAGTAACCTCTTCAGGCATTTTTATTGGTTAAAATTAACTTCTGCTGCAGGCCTGGCATGACATYCACTTACAGGTACTATGACATAAATGAAGGTAAAATAAATACATGTTTAGATTGTATTCCATATAATTCTGCATGTTCCTAGTATATGCATCCTTTAAACCTGTAAGAAAATTTAAGATCGTCTCCTACACCAATATCAAAATTCTGTTTTGCAGAACTGTAATCTCTTAATATAATCTTGGGGATTGGATACACAGGAAAATAATATAGGTAGACATATCTATGTGATAAAATTAATGTAATGCTTCTTATTTCTATTATGTCATCAGACACAGTGCTGTCCTTTGCTACATATTATTTTTTTTACCAAGGTTTACCAAAGAAAGCATAGGAGACAGATTTTGGAAAAGATTTCAGGAGAGGTTTCACCTTGACATAAGAAAGACATGTTTTACAATGAGAGTAATTAATCATTAGAACAATCTCCTGAAGAATGTGGTGGAGAACCTATCAGAGCTCACCTTTGGAAGATTATGGGATGCCTTAGTCAAAGTCACACGTGTCCTTTCACTCTAGCACCAGTGCAAAATGGAGTTAAAAGTACAACTTATTGTTAAGAGGTAAGGTCTAGTGTGTGATACATAATAATGAATTTGTATAATTCAGCTCAGTGTTACTTTTTTATACTGTTTCTAGTATCCTTCTGGTATTATTCCAGTGCCTTTTGACCCACGGAGCCAGAACCCCACTTTATGAAACTGCAGGCTAAACTGGAATCCCTGTCTGTAAAATRTACAATGCAAGTAGTATCTTCTCACTGTTGTATGCTGTAGCAACATTGACATTTAACACCTTGTGTTTTAAATTGTTCATTAGATATTAAGTATACATAGAATAAGAGATGAAAATCGAAAGAACTTATTAAAGGCTAAAGAAGAACCTTGTAAGAAGATTGAGCATAGTCTATTTAATTTTCAATATTTCTTTCAAATATCAGAACCCACAATAGTCTGACAATTGGACATTTAGCTTAGAGCATTTGGCAAAGAACACAAACGACATCTGAATGGAAGGAAATAAATTGTAATGTGTTGTCTGAACACATGAAAATGTGGTTTTCAAGCCTTGTACAAGAAGACAGAGCATATCCTTGGCTTTTCTACCCACGACATATTCCTACAAAGATTTAACTTGCTGCGGGAGATCTAGTTTTGTATCACAACTGGRATGTTGTGCTCACAGCAGCCTGCTATTTTACCTCCAAAGTGCATGTATGTGCATACCACTGATTATCCTGTGAAACAGTCGTTCTGCCTGAAAGACCAACAACTTTTACCAGTATTTCACAGTTTTTAGATGGCATGCACTTCTGTGAATTACTCAGTATAGTTTTTCTGCATTATTTTCAATGGAAAATCATGAAGAGTTTAGGATACTCATTCTGCCTTAATCCCCATTTGCAAAAAGCATGTAGTTGCTCCCTTCAAGCTGAGAAACATCCACTGAAATCTGGCACAAGCTTGAATGTTGTCACATTTGTGTTGSAGGACAAAAAACAGTCAGTGCAATGACATAAACATAATACATTTATTTGAAGCCTATTGCTGTTTTATTGTGAAAAGGGTGTAATCTGAAGTGTGCTATAATACATAAGTGTTTAAAAAAAATAAAATATGGCTTTTGTTTTATTCTGACTGACCTCTTAAAAACCAAACAAAACCCAACTGTTTTTAATTTCATCATGATGGAAGAGACAATGACCTTTCTGAAGCAACAACTAAGCTACRACTTGATTGAGCCCTTCTAAGACAGAAAACAAAGTCTGAATTATGTCAGTGTCTTCAGACAGAGAAGTAAAAGAAAATCTCTTACAAGGCAAATTTGATGAKGAATCTCACCAAATTAGTGATATATGTGGGACATTATGAAAATGTGTTCTTTTATACTGCAGGTAGAAAATGAATTATCTATTTTACAATTAAATTACATAATTTCAGTGGGATAGTAATTTTCTAATCAAATCTGCCTTTAAATTGCTGATTTCCTACCTGCACGTTGCAGGAGGATACTGCAAATGATTGGTTTCCTTTTCCTGTCAAACATGCCACGAGATGGACAAGTTACCGTGGAACTCAAGGCTTGTAGGTTTGTTTTCCTATTTATTGCTCTCTTAAATGTAGAACTAATTTTGTTGTTTGCCAATATTTGTTAGATAAAACACTTGCTGGATTTTCTTTACAGTAGATTGCATTCCTGGAGTGGAAAAAGAAGTAAGGTATCTTAGAATGTAAAGGATAAATCAAACTCAGCATATAAACATCTGGGAAAATTTCCTGTTGCTCAGTGATTTGAATAGCATATGCTAGTGTAAGATTTGTGACTAGGCTTGTACAGTAGCAATGTTGTTAATATTGTTATAGCCCTGTAAGTAGATTGGGTGCTGAGTTTTCATCATGCTTCATAGGAAGTGCTTAGGCTGCGTTAAAAAGCCCTGCCTGTACTTGCAGAAAAGTACATTTTCTAATTATATTGATAGTTTCTCAGCCATTGTTTCATACATTTGTTGTTGGACTTGGCTTTGTGGTTTTCTCATGTAAAAGTTGATAGTGTTTCTGAGCTCAAATCTTGTCACGCTAGGATTTCTCTGCATTTGAAATTACATGAGTGCAGGAATTCATTCTTCTGACAACCTCTGTTCTGCTTTTGTCAGTGGCAAATTCCATCTCAAGGAGATGTCAAATCACAATGAAAAGACGTTTGCCTAGAAAAAAAATGATAATTCATGCCTTACAGCAATTCAAATTCAAACCCACAAGCGGGTGTGTATTAAAGCAAAACCTCATTAGATAGATACAAATTAAAGCTGCTTTGGCCTCAGTTTCCTATTTTTTTATAAAAGCAAAGTTGAGAAATAAGTAGTTTTGATGCTTTGCTACAAAATTTTAAGAAAAAAACCCACCCTTATTTTCTAGCTATAAACGTTCTTTTTTCTTTAACCAAACYGCATAATCTTTCTCTTTTAATATATTTTACTTCAAAGGATTACCCATGTGTATAATTTTGCTTTGCTATTTTTAGTAGTACAGGCCATGAGAAGCTAGGTGTCTTTAGTGTGTCCTGGAGGCATTCAGTAGTATCATATACTCAAATGAAATAGTGTCAGACTGATAAATGCACGAATAATTGACCATGGAGAAGGCAGCCTTGCTAAAACAAGTGTTCCAGACCCATCCCCGAGTGAAGTTAATGTGGACTGGTAACAAAGTGGAAGTTGTTATGGCATCAGCAAACCTGGAGTCCATCTGTGCTGCAGCGTGAACTATGTACATCCACTCCACACAGTAATAGTAGAGTATGGACCTATATGCTGGGGAAAAAAAWTATAATTTTTCACTTAAGCTGCTAAGTACACAAGACAGCATAGACTCTGCCATTCATTTGGATGTATTCCCAAGTTTCTGCCATAGGAGGCAGTAGAACTTGACATCCACAAGTCAAGTTACTCAGATAAGCCATATACTCCTTTATTTCGGGCACCGTGCCGCTGTTGCACCAGGTCCGCTTTGCTCAGGTGGGGAGCCATGATGCCTTGGAGCTCTGGGGGCGAGTCCCGAGTGCCTGCCCTCAGCGGGGGACACCGTGACAGCCTGAGGTGTGATG